GCATGATGTTACTGTTGTTTGCGTGAGTGCACCTTTAAGTCTAACTTTTGTAACGTCTACTGCCATTGTTAACGACCAAGACAAATTTATCCCTGCGAGATGAACAAAGATTGTCACTGTCATTGTCATAAGGTCATATAAGTGGCGAAGATTAGAGGTGTTACAAGAGAGTAACAAACACAAAAAAAGGAAGGGAGATAGAGACGGTAAATTTTTTTTATAGGAAAGAAGGAGCAAACCACACCAGAGCACCCGCCAACCACCCACTGGACCTGCACCCCAAGGCCCTTAAAATGCATGGATATAATATACGATATACGGTGATAACCTTCTCTTTGTGTTTGTTACTCTCTTGTAACACCTCTAATCTTCGGCACATATATGACCTTATAATGTGTTGCAAGTGCCGTAAAACTCTTACTAAAACTAAAACTAACCTCCTTTGCCCTGTCAGTTACCGAAACTAAACCTGTCGCAGAATGTGCATAAAGTTCGTTTTTTTTTTTCTTACAAGTGACTGCATTAAATACATGTATGATTCTTAATATTGTGTCTTTCAAATGTTCTGATCGTGGGTGGTAGGCGGGTGCTCTGGTGTGGTTTGCTCCTTCTTTCCTACCAAACATATATCGTCCTTATCTCTCCTCCTTTTTTTTGTGTGTGTTTACTACTCTCTTGTAACACCTCTAGATTCTAGATCTAATCTTCGGCACTGATATTATGATGGTCTTACTGTGTTGCAAGTGCCGTAAAAATCTTACTACCCCCCCCCCCCAAAAAAAAAAACAAAAACAACAACAACCCCCATCTAACTTTATAACAACTTCCTTGGTGGGCGCAGTTCAGCAGAGAATACAGGCGCTACAAAAAAAAAGTATCTCCCCTTGGGGGGGGGGGGGGGGGGGGGGCTCAGAGCCGCACACTTTCGAGAAAAAACTACCAAAGCCGCGCACTATCAGAGCCACACACTTTTTGACGATATCCATACAATTAGATTGTTGATTACAAAAACAGTACCATCCAACAATTTAAGTCTGTCCACGTCATTTTACGCAAGAAAAATTCTGAAATTATGCAAACAGAGCCCAAAAATGAGAAATTAAGCTATTCCGTCAATTTTAACAAAGAATGATAAAGGAAAATTAAATAATCAGAAATTATGCACAAAAAAAGATAAAATTTCGCTAAATGATGCGGGGTGCATAAACCCCGGGGACATTAAGTGTACCGTCAGCAGGTACAGAAACAGCCCAAAACGTAATATAAAAAAAAAAACGCTGTTTTTCCGACCCCTCGCTTCTTTCGTGCATTATCATAGCCTCATTCTATACTTCTACATTATCGTAGCCTCATTCTATACTTCTACATTATCGTAGTCTCATTCTATACTTCTACATTATCGTAGCCTCATTCTATACTTCTACATTATCGTAGCCTCATTCTAAACTTCTACATTATCATAGCCTCATTCTATACTTCTACATTATCGTAGCCTCATTCTATAGTTCTACATTATCGTAGCCTCATTCTATACATTATCGTAGCCTCATTCTAAACTTATACATTATCGTAGCTTCATTCTATACTTCTACATTACCGTAGCCTCATTCTAAACTTCTAAAAAAATCATGCGTTTCATAAAAGTAATAAAGACATTACATTTGGAAATCTCCGCATTTGTTTTCCATTTATTGCTCTCTTCGGCGCTGTCGATATCCGTGTAAACGCCGTGCTTCGCTTTGTATCTTCTTGTTCTCGCTGTCGTTTTCATTGGGGGATGGGAGGAGGGGCGGATATAGTATCCGTTATCACTGGGTTGGTGTTGTCATAGAAAGGGAGGAGGACGCGAGTACAGAGCCTTATGAAAGGAAGTGAATACCTTCTGGGGGAGATCGTCAAAGCGGCCCACTTTTTTACTTTTGCTGGTTTTAGTCTATATATTCTATGAGCATATAGAAGAATAGAGCAAATACGATAGCAAAAAGTATACATACGGTAAATGATAACTGGGGGAATGAATAGATTAGAGAGAGAGAGAGAGAGAGAAGAAGTATAGTTGCAACAGTGGAGAGGGAGAGGCGAGGAGTGTTTG